CTTGTGAAAGATCAGCTTGGGTGAAACAGCTGCTGATCATGTTCAACTATTAAATTACTCTTTATGAAAACCTCTAAAAATCATCATTTTTGACACATTTTATCCTTAATAATGGATTTTGTGTTTTCATATTAGTCCAAATCCGGCAACTGCTGAAATAAACTAACTTACAGTCTAGTTTTCAGGAGGATGACCGCATCTGATGGCAATTTCTGAAAATAGTGCATGGTTGTTATGAAAATCAAATGGGTCGAAAAGAGTCCCTCCGTTGTGCTTTATATTTTATTCGGCATTTCCTTATTTGTCGATATGCATCCGTTAGCTGGTTAGTTGGGCTATTATTCATTATGATCCATTGGGTGTTGTGTGACATACACTTAGTTTACAAAATTCGAGATAAAGGAATGGAGGACTTAATTATACATAGACGTTGGCAAACGTAATCTCTCCAAAGGCAGACTTTAAGAAAGAACCTCTTCTTAGTAACTGTTTGCTTTTCTTGTAATGTGATGTTTGTAATTCATATAGAAGGGATCCTTTCATAAAATCACCCACACACCCCACCTACCTTTCAAACAAGGATACACATGACACATTAGAAATTGACATTGAACAAAGTAAGTGTTTATGTTAATAAACGTTGCATAATCATCCTGGTTGCCACACCATAAACAAGAACTGTCTGATTGATTCCCGGCAGATGATTGGGGATAAATGGACGTGGAGAGGGAGGGTGCACACAACTTAGAACGCCCTCTCCCTTAGATTTACATGTATGCTTATTTAAAATTAATAAATTGAATGACAGAAAGGAAAGATAAGAAAAAGAGAAACGTATATACATTCGGATTGCTCATTCAAACCTTTTTGTTTTCTTTATATATGTATGTAAATTGCTATAAATGCTTTCGTTAACATGATTAGGTAAAATTGCATTGCCATCTAGCATCAGGTCAATATTTACATCACAAGTATCTTTCACAATAAACAATAGCGACTGCATCAATTCGTTTCTAGCTGATTTAAATAAAGGACATTCAATGAAAACATTCTATGAATGTTCACATGGGCTACCACATCGGCATTTAGGATCCTCGTTTAAACCTTTTCTAAATAAGTCAGTTATAAATTCACTGTCATCTAATTTTAATTTTGGATTTATTATCTTAATTTCCCTAGGCCATATTAGAACTATGATGGAACTGTAGATGTATCTGTTCCTAAACTGGATTTAAATCGAGAGAAGGATTCAATATTCATCTGCTGACTTGGTAATGTATTACACAATTTAAGAGCGGATGGTATAAACGAGGAGTCAGATGACTTAGTACGGAATAAAGGCATAGTTATATTGTGAGCAGTTCTAAGGTTGTATGTGACGTTTGTACCGACAGAGTGAGGTACTAGATCTTTAAGGTATGAAGGTGTCATATTGTAATATATTTTATAAAATAAATACAATTTACGTTTCCTCCTACGCTCTGACAGGGCTGCCAGGAAGTTTCATTATAATGTTTTGACAGAAGTATAGGTTTGTAAACCAGTTACAATTCTTGCTGCTTCTAGTTGGAGTTTTTCTAATCTGTCACTCTGCTCTTTTGTACAACCGTCTCAAACTTCACATGCATATTCAAAATGTGGTCGAATAAACATTACATAAATCTTATTCAACACACTACGACAGAGGATAAACTTAATCTTGCTTATTGAATGACTCATCTTTGATGTAGTTTTAATAGCTGAATCAATATGACCTGACCACTTCCCCGATGCCAACAATATAACACCCATTTCACAGTTCTCTGCGGCTTCTTTGTGGAAACAAGAATTGATTTTGTTTTGCTCGGATTATATTGAATTGCTATTCATAGTAGTTTCTATATATTCAATGTTATTAGACTTTATGCCAAGGGATGTGTCATCGGCAAATAATCTTGTTGTACACTTCAATGTTTCAGTAATATAATTTATGTACTCGACCCGTGAAGATTCCGGGGTAGAATCAGTCTTCAGGAACCCTTGTTTGCCGTAAAAGGTGACTATGCTTGTCGTACAAGGCGACTAACGGTATGCCATCGATCCCAATTGTGTGGATCGATGCTCATGATATTAATCACTGGATTGTCTGGTCCAGACTCGATTATTTACAGACCGCCGTCATATAGCTGGAATATTGCTGAGAGCGGCGTTAAACAACAAACCAACAACCAACCAACATTTATGTACACAAGGAACAAGACATATTGCTGATGCGACGAAAAACTATGTGTCTTCATTCATTCATTCATTCACTCATCACGCCCGAACCAACATGGGCACAATGTGAGAAATCCCACTTGAATGTCTCCGACCCTGATATTGCTGAAAAAAAATCTACTAAACTTCACTTACTTTTCTTTGCACTATTAATCACACCTCTAATTAGACAATAGTGATGTTATGTACAAGACAAAATGACATTCGGATTTACTGTAACAAGACTAGAAAATATGGAAATAGAAGACAATATTCTAAAACTATGTGCGGTGTTTATTTGATAATAATGTGAATCGACCCTAAACCAGGACAAATGACTCAAGCTACTGAGTTATGGTGACATGTATTCAAGCACATGTAACCTCCCAATTTGACCAACACCATAGCACCATAAAAGTGTGTCTACAAAAGGTTGCATGCCCCAATTTATTTTCTTTCTAGAGGACCGTTTGATTAGGAGCATCTATGTGTTAGCTTATTGTCGCACATTAAAGTGTCAGGGGACATAGCCTTTCGTTATATAAGTATGCATTTCCTATTCTTTCAAAGTTTGAATGGGCATTTCCGAAAACTTGCTGGTACATCGGCCAATTTATTCAACGTTACGGTTACACAAACAGGATACTATAATTGTGTCTATGAACGGCCGTCCGAATACTGGAAGTAGGTCTGAGTAGGCACATGGACTTGTATCAGATGGGATGTGAAGTCAACGACGTATATGTGTCAGACGTGTGTAGGTCTCTCAAATAAAGTGAAATAATATCACCTCTTTATAAATGTATGTATTTTTTTTGGCACTGATACACATACAGAATTGTAGTAATAAAATTGCATCGAATAGTTTTATGGTATTTTTTTATAAAAACAATGTATTATCTGACTTTTCACAGAGTTAACCAAATGATGTGTAAATATGGTTTAACGTCACGTTCAATGTGTCATGTCGGTAGTATGGGAGCCATTTTTCAAAAGGATATAGCGTGTTGAGCGTGTGGATATCGAGACCCAGGTAGCATTGTGCTGCTATTTTTTTTTATTCGTGTCACGATCCTTTGTAAAATCTCTTTTAGTACACTGGCACAAACTAACAGGTAAATTGAACATTACATTCAAGACATATTGTAGTGTTACCCGCAGGAGAGAGGGGTATTCGTGCAATTATATTCAGTATTTCTGACTGAGCATGATACATACTTCTTCCTGCTTATTAGTTAGTTTTTGCAATGTGGTGCACTGTTTCCGTTATTTGCGAAACGTCCTTTAGAAACGTGTCATTATACCAGTGTGATGTCGCAAGTGTTTACATATGACGTCATCAAATGGCATGACGCCACCGTCGGATTGACTGAGCTAATGTAACCACTTGTGATAAATTGGGTAATATGTGGAATAAACTACTAGCAGTTATTGATAATGTTGACGGTAAATAGAACATAATTCTGAGGTTCATAACAGCCGTTGGCTCATTGGTTATTCTAAACAATTATAATAGTGTAACCTTCATGTCAAGGATAGGTAATGTCTCTCAAACGTATACACATACAGTGCGTTATTGTTCAACAAAAGTAACCGATTTTCTAATAATGTTTATACTGCAAATCCCAACACAAATGGTAGACGCTCTGGTCCCTGACATAAGTTACTAGTTACTCTGAGTACGCAAACACAGATCTAGAGTAGGGGTGTGAAAGTTGCCTGGACAGTCTTGTTCCTATATGCTGTTTTAGAGTAGATTTCGTGTATAAACTTTATCTTCTGAAAGTTAAGGGGTCGATCGAATATGGGAAACGAAAACCGACCAATGTCAATGTTTATTTACACAACATTGACAACATGTCAGTGCGTTCCATTACTTTATCTTTGTGTTTTTGTTTTTTAACGCCGCACTCAGCAATATTCCAGTCATATGACGGCGATATGTAAATAATCGAGTCTGGACCAGACAATCCAGTGATTGACATCATGAGCATCCATGTAATTGGGATCGATGACATGCATCAACCAAGTCAGCAAACCTGACCACCCGATCCCCTTTGTCGCCTCTTACAACAAGCATAGTCGCCTGTTACGGCAAGCATAGTCGCCTGTTACGGCAAGCATAGTCGCCTGTTACGGCAAGCATGGGTTCCTGAAGACCTATTCTACCCCGAATCTTCACGTGTTTTACTTTATCTACATACATGGTATTCGCAATGACATTATCTATCCCTATACCTTCTTTGTCGATAAAACAAATTCAGATATATGGAACTGAATGCGTTTTAAACAGATCTTGAAAAAAACACCTTTAGCCTGAAGTGTTTTTCCAAAACGAATATATGTATAGAAAGCTATTTAGAAAACAATCCAGAGCCGCACGAAGTGGATGCAAATGCGCATGTACTTCAGATTAAAACTGTATTATTGCAGTCAGTAAAATGTGAACACATATCATTATCCAAGTAGCATATGTTCTAAACGGCTATTGTATTCACCATATACACAATAGAACCACATGTATTTATTCAGACTTCTAGCCAAAAATGTTATGTTCTAAATAAGTTCACAGAATTGGTACAAATCAACACACTGTTATAATAAAATCTCAGAATTTGGAAATCAAAAGAAATGTGTGTTAATATGAAACTGGAAGGTTTAACTCTTACTAACATGTGAGTGGTCACTTGGGACTTTCCACAAGAGCTTTGTCCTCTCCTTGTGCCCACTTCGTTCCACGTGGTTTATGTCCAATGCAAGTGGGATAGTGTATAGTGTAAGCGATGTCAGGCCACCACAGCCAGTCTGCCCCTATCGCCTGTTGTAGTAATAATTAGTAGTACACGTTCTGTACGAACTTTATTCACACCAATAATGACTGTGTGGTGCGGCGCAGTGTTAATTATGGCTTGTGTCAGTCTCTCAGCAGGTAAGCTTAATTTGTTTCGATCCAATTGTATATATATTCATACTGTGACCAGCCTCTCTCCAGTGGAATAACTGTATATCGTGTAAACTTAAAATTAATGTGCGTGTGTGTGTGTTTGGTGTGTATGTGTGTGTGTGTGTGTGTGTGTGTGTGTGTGTGTGTGTGTGTGTGTGTGTGTGTGTGTGTATAAACACTGACGGAATAATTCCACATTCCTGGGGAGACACTCCGGATATCCCTTGCACGAATACTTACAAAGGCGTTGGGTCTGATCATTTAGATCCTTTAAACTTGAACTGAGCATACATTGAAAAACACCAGAGAGTTTGACTGCACGTTCGTTACGAATATCCCCACTACGACCCATCCCAATGAAAAATCGTAGAAATGCTCATCAACTGTCGTAGTATCGACTCGATAAATGTCTCGACTGACAGTTACATTCCACAGCAGTCTTTGACTTTACCTTTGTATCTATTTGACACATCTCTATAATGATCGGTCAACTGATGAGTGATGACTAACACATGTAACCGCCACAGGTTCATTAACAAATTCGGAAATCTCTCCCGTCACGGTTATGGTGTCGGCCATTTTGACGTCTTGTACTTGATATGAATGTAGTACGACGCGCTGTCATTGTGACTGACTTGCGGAGGTAGTTCTTAACACACCTTTTTCTATGATGATACTATTTTAATACATACACTGTACCTTGTGAACAAATTACAACAAATATTCCTGTAAATCAATTTGAGCATACATACGCTAATGTCATCTCTCTTTGTGGGGAACTATTTTGTTCCGCGACACAGCTGGTTGTTGTATGGCTGTTCGTTTTTTGTTTGTTTGTTTGTATGTTTGTTTGTTGTTTAACGCCGCACGCAGCAATATTCCGGCTATATGACGGCGGTCTGTAAATAATCGAGTCTGGACCAGACAATCCGACTGTTCGTGGAAACAAGTCACACGTTTAGATTTGGTGCGTGATCCTCAGCGCTATAAAATAGGGTTATAAAAAATGATTTACTTTTCACTTTGTGTGAGTTCATTGGGCTGAAGGTCAAACATTGCATGAACGTCGAAGCAGTTTGGCCGTGAGTCTATGATGATTCATAGTCCAAAACACTCACACAAAGTGAAAGTCAATTATTAAATATGTGACCTCATTAGAGCAGCACAAATCCTTTTCTGGGGCTCGAACATCCATGTTGATGCTCGGAATGACTAACAAACCCCTTTACCACTAGGCTACCAAAAAGAATAAGGGTTAGCCTTTTAGCTTTCTGGAAGTTTTTCATGTAGAAAATTTAAGTTGTATATGTCTCGATATATAATTTTCACTGGATATAATAGTGTATACTTTTATTTAGCATTAGAGATATAATATTCATTACATTTGCACTACAAACCTCGGGGGACTTTATAGACGAGAGGAGATTTTCCATAACAGAGTCCTTTCTGTTAATGTCAGTGTGGTACAAGATACTTGTGGTTTAACGGCGCTTTGAACAGTACTGTAGTCATCTCACGGCGTGTCAGATTGATGATGAAAGCCTAATAAAGCAAAATATCGTTTTTGCAATAGGTTTTTTTACATATTCATGTCTGGGTTGAGAGGTTGCTGGTGGTGGGGAATACTAATTAAGCCGCCTGAATTCCATTACAGATGTTTGGGTTTATAACATTGGGGTCCGCATGTGCATGTTAAAAAACGAAACAACTCCATATCTGTCACTTCAACTGAAGAGCTATTGGTGGCACATGGGTACGCATGTGTGCTTTGTTTGATCTTGTCAACTACTAGAATATCAGTACCCTCTGATACAGGTAAAGGGCAAAACATTGCTCTGAACAAACCAGCATGGATGAGCACATCCTGGCAAAACCGCAGTGCCAGTAAAGCTGTAGACGGAGTTATAAATACAAAGAACTGGCGGATGTCAGCCCATACTGATGTGTACCAACCATCAGCTTGGTGGAAGGTGGATCTGCAGACAGAAGTACGGTCACCTCAAGTAATTATCTATTTCCGAAGCGACTGTAAGTATTATTAAATGTGTATACTAGTATTCCACATGTGATATTTCTTATAATAACATCAAGTAAAACTTACTGTATACATCGCATACAGCACTTCGCGACGGGCATATCGAGACCAGGACCCTCATAACAGTATTGACGTGCAACAATCAGAACAAACTGTATTTGTTAGCTTTGCAAGTGGACAAATAGCTGTGCCTTTATGAGATATTATCGTACTTGATGGCGCACATCCTTAGCGAATTTCTGACTGCAGATTACAAAAAGAAAATCTAACGGACATGACGAAGCAATCAGGATGTATGAGCTGCCGCTGCAGTAGGACTTGAACAATATCTTCTATTTAAAGCATAACATAGCTGTATGGTGTTGTTTTGCGACTGACTACAAGTATCAGCATTAGAATGTACGTTCATCATCATCGAGGTTATGCATAGCGCCAGTGAAGTCGATCAAGGTATATTCATTGTCTTCAAATAAAAAAAATAATACAAAAGCCCAAAGTTGATACACCACCTTTAAAGTCACCAAAGGTATCGAGGATACATGTATGCGTCATTGACGATATCGGGGTTTTATTTACTCACGGAAATGACGAAGGTAAATGTTATGTCAGCTGATTAAGCAAAGATAAGTTTCATCAAAATAACTTAACTAACTGATACTATATACAGTGTGCACGAAATAAATGTAGGTATATGCAGTGTCCACGGTGTAAGTGAAGGTATATGCAGTGTCCACGGAGTAACTGTAGGTATATGCAGTGTCCACGGAGTAAGTGAAGGTATATGCAGTGTCCACGGAGTAACTGAAGGTATATGCAGTGTCCACGGAGTAACTGAAGGTATATGCAGTGTTAACGAAGTAACTGAAGGTATATGCAGTGTCCACGGAGTAACTGATGGTATATGCAGTGTCCACGGAGTAACTGAACGTATATGCAGTGTCCACGGAGTAACTGAAGGTATATCCAGTGTCCACGGAGTAACTGAAGGTATATGCAGTGTCCACGGCGTAACGGTAGGTATATAGAGTGTCCACGGAGTAACTGAAGGTATATGCAGTGTCCACGGAGTAACTGAAGGTATATGCAGTGTCAACGAAATAACTGAAGGTATATACAGTGTCCACGGCGTAACGGTAGGTATATAGAGTGTCCACGGAGTAAGTGAAGGTATATGCAGTGTCCACGGAGTAACTGTAGGTATATCCAGTGTCCACGAAATAACTGAAGGTATATACAGTGTCCACGGCGTAACGGTAGGTATATAGAGTGTCCACGGAGTAACTGAAGGTATATGCAGTGTCCACGGAGTAACTGAAGGTATATGCAGTGTTAACGAAGTAACTGAAGGTATATGCAGTGTCCACGGAGTAACTGAAGGTATATGCAGTGTCCACGGAGTAACTGTAGGGATATGCAGTGTCCACGGACTAACTGAAGGTATATGCAGTGTCCACGGAGTTACTGAAAGTATATGCAGTGTTAACGAAGTAACTGAAGGTATATGCAGTGTTAACGAAGTAACTGAAGGTAAATGTAGTGTCTACGGAGTAACGGTAGGTATATACAGTGTCCACGGAGTAACTGTAGGTATATGCAGTGTCCACGGAGTAAGTGAAGGCATATGCAGTGTCCACGGAGTAACTGAAGGTATATGCAGTGTCCACGGAGTAACTGTAGGTATATGCAGTGTCCACGGAGTAACTGAAGTTACATGCAGTGTCCACGAAGTAACTGAAGGTATAAGCAGTGTCCACGTAGTAACTGAAGGTATATGCAGTGTCCACGGAGTAACTGTAGATATATGCAGTGTCCACGAAGTAAATGAAGGTGTACACAATCTGCAGTCAGTATTGGAGCCGTTTCGTGACAGATTTTGGGTCAATTGTGCACTTTGTGATGAAAGCATGTCCCTGTCTGGCAGCAAATCAGAACCCGGTCTGGCAGCATTAGACCCTTTGCATAAAGAGTCTTGTGTCACTCTCATGAGAACATGAGAACATGGATGTAGATCATTGACAACATCTAACCCTTTGTTACATAGACCATTTTGCCGCAAGTGTTTAAAATCTTTTCCCCCCGAATTCTAATGAAATAACTTGTTCAAGTCAAAAACTTCAACAGTTCTCTCTTGTTCTCGTCAGTTCGTAGAGATGCCTACCATGTGTGAAAATATTTGCTGTGACCAATCAACAAACTTCTTAACATATGGGAGATATGCCGAAATAGTAAGAGATGCATATTATGTTTTTCTCACTTTATATTACCTAAAGCAACATAAATAGTCTATTTTCATAAAACTATTTACTTTACAGATGTAGTGTTGGGTAAATACGTTCCAACATGTTCATGTTTCTTTATATATTTAGGTTGTGAGTCATGCTCAAACGAGATATACTAGAATTTCAATACACCATAGCGGCCATATTGATTTGTTTTTGGGTGGCCCCATATCTGAACATATATGGAATGTCATTACCTACAACTGTGCCAAGTTTAATGTTTTGGTCAGAAAGTGCACACTGTTTTCACGAGACGGCACCACTAAAGTACGTGAGGGGATATATACAGCGTCCACGTACCCAAGTGTCAATGAAAGTAAACCTGGTATGAAGACTCACTGCTCATTGCAGCAGTTAATAGTAAGTCAGTGATCATGTAGTCATTAAACGCACATAATTGACGAATGAATTGAAGTCATGTGCACCGTAAAATCATTAGTCTTAAATTGCCATGTATGTTTAAGTATCATGCATGATGACACTTTGTCAGTATTACCAATAATAATCCTGACATTGTACGTGCATCTCGGTCAGTGCACGCATAAAATTCCATTAAGAAAGACACTCGTAAGACATTTACGGTACACGTGAGACGTAGTCAGTGTGGTTTAACTGTGGAAAGCAACCTTGCTGACGACAAACCATCGGTCAAGACAGGTCAAGATAACATCATTCTGGGGTTGAGGCTACAAGACTGAAGGTTACTCCTCTTCACAGATTACTCCGGGTTAGGGGCGCTCTATTGGTCATCGATGACAGGTGTATGGTACGGTGACGCAATTATCCAACCTCACATCTTTCCATTCCTTCAGACCCATTGACGTTACATCGCTGGACATGGACAAGTCATGGTTTTTGGTTTGTTGTCTAAAGCCGCACTCAGCAATGTTCCAGCTATATGACGGCGGTCTGTAAATAATCGAGTCTTGACCAGACAATCCAGTGATTGAAATCATGAGCATCGATCCACGTAATTGAGATCGATGACATACATCAACCAGGTCAGCGGGCCAGACCACCCGATCGCGTTAGTCGCCTCTTACGACAAATATAGTCGGCAAGTATGGGTTGCTGAAGACCTATTCTACCCTGGGATGGACACATGGATATCAATATATTGTTCTGTTGCATATTGTTCTGTTTCTTTCTTTTCATTTATTTATAATTGTCCACGATAGTTAGTGTTACAAAGGTTATTATTACCGCTCTATATATCTTTAAATATATTTCCTTCAAGTCAAGGTTCGACGTAACGGAGTACAGTTCTACACGTCAGTGACAAATTCATCTGATCCTAAAGAGGGCGATTTATGTTATACGGTCAGAGGACAGCAAAATGGCGCGGACATCCCTGACGTACTGAATGTGACCTGTCCTGGAGCCTGGCGCTACCTGACTGTCTACACAGAGACAGGAAATGATAAGCATGGCCCTATCCTAGACTTTGCCGAGATACAGGTGTGGAAGGAAAATATCGAAACAAGTGATGATGGTCAGGAGACTCTCTCACAGGCTACAACGTGGATTGTGTTGAGTAAATATATTTTGCTTCTGTTTTAAAAGATGTTTAATAAACGTATATATCCGCCTGGTATTTTGTTACATACTCACATATATGTAGTTTTATCTGGAATAATGCATTACAATTTAAAAACAACATTTAAATTTTGTTCATCTCATTTGCAGATTTTTAAATATCTAGCCACATGCAAAATACACATACATGTATCACAAATATGTTCTGAAACGACACCAAAATAAATGGAGACTTACTAACGGATAAGGATTGTCTGATCACGCCTTGTCGAGATGGGATAAATATAAGATAGCAACATCAACAAAAGTGGTGACTTTGTGAAGAATTGTTTATTGAAGACGAGTCCACGCCAAGGATTCCCTCAAATGCTATTTGCTAAAACAACCGTTTGTATTTTAGTATTGCATGTCCAGTGGTCAAGTTCACTTCAAACTGATTATAATTAATACAATAGTTTAGAAATCGACCTTTACCAAGTGCACCATCAACACATATGGCATACCCAGGTATATAAGTTGTTGCAGACAGCTCTTTAAACACTGATATACTGGGAAAGTCATGTGTTTCTGAACTGTACTGATTGCTTTCTCTGATTCTTTTCAAGCACCAAGTTTCACGCCATTACCCACAGAACACGAATGTGGAGCAGGAAAATGGTATGGAACCAATTGTATGAAGTCATGTGCTGAGCGTCAATGTAAGCATGTGTCCGGCTGTGATGTGATACAAGGGAGGTGTGATGGTGGATGCATGGCTGGATGGTATGGAACGGACTGTACACAGGGTACGAGAGTTCGGTCATTATCTGTTTTGCGGTAGGAGACGTGTCCACAAAATGGTTTAGTGAACTCCATTGTGTCAATAAGCCAACAAAGGGTGGCAGCTGGGTATATGTCAACAAGGTGGGGTTCAGACATCAGTTGTGTCAGTCGACCAACATAGGGTGGCAGCTGGGTAAATATCAACAAGGTGGGGTTACGACATCCATTGTGTCATTCGACCAACATAGGGTGGCAGCTGGGTGCGTGTCAACAAGGTGGGGTTACGACATCCATTGTGTCAGTCGACCAACATAGGGTGGCAGCTGGGTAAATGTCAACAAGGTGGGGTTACGACATCCATTGTGTCATTCGACCAACATAGGGTGGCAGCTGGGTAAATGTCAACAAGGTGGGGTTACGACATCCATTGTGTCAGTCGACCAACACAGGGTGGCAGCTGGATAAATGTCAACAAGGTGGGGTTACGACATCCATTGTGTCATTCGACCAACATAGGGTGGCAGCTGGGGGCCCGTCAACAAGGTGGGATTCAGACATCCATATGCATTGTGTCAGTCGACCAACACAGGGTGGCAGCTGGGTAAATGTCAACAAGGTGGGGTTACGACATCCATTGTGTCAGTCGACCAACATAGGGTGGCAGCTGGATAAATGTCAACAAGGTGGGGTTACGACATCCATTGTGTCATTCGACCAACATAGGGTGGCAGCTGGGGGCCCGTCAACAAGGTGGGATTCAGACATCCATATGCATTGTGTCAGTCGACCAACACAGGGTGGCAGCTGGGTATATGTCAACAAGGTTCGGGTTCAGACATCCATTGTGTCAGTCGACCAACACAGGGTGGCAGCTGGGTATATGTCAACAAGGTGGGGTTCAGACATCCATTGTGTCATTCGACCAACACAGGGTGGCAGCTGGGTATATGTCAACAAGGTGGGGTTCAGACATCCATTGTGTCAGTCGACCAACACAGGGTGGCAGCTGGGTATATGTCAACAAGGTGGGGTTCAGACATCCATTGTGACAGTCGACCAACATAGGGAGGCAGCTGGGTATATGTCAACAAGGTGGGGTTCAAACCAACATCGTGTCAAAAGTCCAGTATGGATATGTATCAACAACGTGGGGTTTTAAGACCTCGATGTTGCAAAAAAGCTTATATATATATGTCGTTCATTGGACATGTTGGGTGTTGTGCAAATTAATGTTCATCCTTTCAGAGAAAACAACTGTCTATCGAAAAGTGTAGCAGGGCAACAAATACGAACTAACGTCTGTTTTGTTCGTGGTGTCATTGTATTAGATATCCGATTACCCTTCATGCAGACAAACCGGCCAATAGTTAGTTGTTCTGTTGTGTATACACTTTGATTTACATCAGTAATGCAGCCATACTTCAGTCATACACATAACGTAAGTAGCCATGAAACTATATTTGAACCAATGCAGAAGTTAGTGCATGTACACATAAAATGTGTTCTTCCCTTTAACGCAGTTTAAAAGACGTCGTTTCTATACATGCTCTTCTTTGTGTACAGAATGCTTTCAGGGCCTTGAATACGGAGCTAATTGTGTGGGTAACTGTAATACCCGAATGTGCGAGGGAGGGTCAGTCTCCTGTCCCCGGGATACGGGTCGATGTGAGTTAGGCTGTCAGTCGGGGTGGACGGGAGAAGACTGTATCAAAGGTAAAAGGACAGCTTATATAAGACATGACACGTGTTCAATGAAGACAGTAAAACTGATATCATGGTATTTCTTTTTCATGAAGAGCATCTTACTTCTTATTTGCAACGTATTAACATGCTTGAAGGCACATGTTGTACCACGCTAAAAATGCATATATTTTGCTTACCTCAAGGTCTCACACTGACCATAGGATGGATGACCAGCCGCAGTTGACTGTTTGAGACAGCATGCTTCACTACATTATTTTATTATTATACTTGGACCACTTCCAAGAACGCCTTCAAGCATTATTCCAAGCATTGTTCAAATTGTACACAAGTCTCTTGGACTCTGTATGAATGTCATGCCATCTACATGTGTGTGATTATCCGATATTAGCAACTTAGGAATAAGTTTATATACCATAACGTTTTCGTAATGTTTTGGGTTTTTATTGCGGTTCACATTCCAATGTTTATTTTTTTCAGAATTAAGGACATGCACCCCCTCCCCCAACAATATCAGTGTTCTTGATATCATTGTGGGCATAATGGTGGGCGTGCTACTCGTTCTGGTTCTTGGGCTCTATCTTCGTTCACTTAAAAATGGGAAGTGAGTATGATTACACATTCTATCATGAATTTGGAAAATGTTCGATCTGATTGGTTAATCAGAAGGTTCATATTACAATAACCATATCTGAGAGAAACTAATATTTCCAGAATTGAAATAATGAAATGTACATTGTATGCTTACAAATGCAGACGTGCGGTTACTACTATATTCATAGTATTTATAGTATTACATGCTGAACTGGAAATATATATTAACAGTTTAAGTGACAACAGAGAGCTTAAACTGTGTTGTTCTTCTAAGGACGGCACAACGATCGCTGTGACGTCACAATAGCGATGTGCGTTGTACAATTGTCTTTTCAAAGTTTTTTTAATTTCCGTCAGCGTTAATAAAAATTAAACAAAAGCGTCTGAACAAAAAGTAGTAACAACTGATTCACAATACGTTAAGCTTGTGCAAATTAATTGATATTATTTGGGGGAACATAACTGCAAGAATCATGAAAAAGGAATTGCTTCATTATATTGTCTTTGTAACATACAGGTTGCACTGGAACTGTCGACCAGTGCAGGGACAACAGATCATTGACGTGCCTAAATTCGCTGATGTACATGCTACAAAAGACTCGAACAATGTAAACATCATAGAAGACATACTGTAAACACATATGCACAATGTACACGGATTGTGTTTACTGATGGGAGAAGAATGTCCATTGGTTGAGAGAGAGAAGGTTTCCTTCAAGAATGGAATTGTAGAAGTGATGTAAACGTTGTGTAAAGAACTGTCTATACAAAACATGTGCATGTATTGTATTACTTGGTTTATTCACACTGTGTAACATCTATCGCTCATGATTGATATTTCTGATACTTACCGTTAATAAAAGCACACGATTACTTTGATTGTTTATTATGCCCCGAGATTTTCTTTACCCGAATAAACATATTTGAGTTATTTCGCTGACTTAAACGATTTTTATGGTTGAGACATAAACACTATTAGTATTCATCTGTTCAAGTTTATGTCGGGTAGAGTGTCCAGATTCAGCGACGTGTTTTATGGCGTATCATCATAATCCGATTGATGTGAACGATTCGTCATGATAGCAAACACTGGTTTGTCTGGACCACACTAAATTATTCACAGACTGACGTACATGGCTTGATTAATCGACAAGAGCAGGGATTGTGGGTAAGAATATAGATCCAAGCAACCTATGCTTGTCGTCAACGGCGACTGACTATATGAATCGAATGGTCATGCTCCGGGACTTGAGTCGTACGTTGGTGAAACGCCCGCCAATATCTACCCGCAACAAAGAACATAATACTTCAACACCCAAGCTTGTTTGCTTGTTTGTTGTTTAACGTTGGTCAGCGGGCCTGACCACCCGATCCCGTTAGTTGCCTCCTACGACAAGCATAGTCGACTTTTATGGCAAGCATGGGTTGCTGAAAACCTATTCTACCCCGGATATTCACGGGTCCATGAGCCAAAGCAGACACCAAATCTGCCCTCTCAGACCACCAGCAATCCAATTCCCCAGCTATCAAATTCTGTTTGACAAAGTCCAGATCCTCTCAACCAAACATAAGGGCTTCAATAAAAGAGGTCAAGGGTACTCCATCTCGTCTGTCTATTGTTATATGACAGTGTATTCCGTTGTGAAACACTGATCGTGACTGTGTTGCATTGTTTCTATTGAGATTCGGTAGAAGCTCATTGCATTGTATTTGGACAAGATCATCTCTCTCACATTTCATCACATATTTTCATCTGAGAATACATCAAGACCAGTTTTCGTGTGAAGATCACTTATCACCCTGGATTCCTACTCCATTCTAGGCTCATGTTTAAGCTTGACCACTGTCACCGCGGGATGAAAATTTTATTATCACCACTGTATTTCTATATTTCATACTGACATTGCCATCATATAATATACTACCAGTGAATATAATACCACCACTTTATTGTGCACTGTCATTGTCATTGCTGTACAGTTACTGAGTTGTAAACATTGTAATCTTTAAAATACATTTGTTGATTGTAGACTATGTGTTTCACACTGAATTCATTTACGTACATATTGTTTCAATTTGTGAATCGACACGTGACACCTTGATGAGCTATTAGTATCCAGTCAGCTCGTCACAACTTTTTAATCCTGTTTATTATCGTCACTATAGATCTGGTTCGTTGACTGTGTTGAAATCACTGTACATCTGTAGTCACTCCAGCTTGATAACGGTGTACGAATCAGCATGGAAACGTATCTGTATGCAATCAGCCAAAAGTTGTTATCCATAAATATCTTAATTACGCACCAACTTCAAGAATGCCAATCAAACTGTTAAATAATATGTTTATATATATTTTTCGACAAACATTAGTAGATACAAACATGTTTGTTGTTATCAAAATTGGAGCTCTATATGTTGAAGATGTAACGGCTATAATGTCTTAAGGCACATGAATATTGACAAATAGTTTGGTGTTGACAATAATGAATTATCTTTCGTTGGATTTATGACCACTCAATTTGACTCTGTATACATCTATCCTTTCTTGAAACATTCACTGGAATTAAGGAGACAAGCAATGAGCACTTGCTTGATAACGGTGTTAGAACCTATACCGAAACGTCGCTCTTAATTGTAATAAAGAAGATGTTCATCCTTAGATTTTATCCTTCCCTACTACCTCCTTCTAAATGCCTATCAAAGAAGCAATGAGTAATTTAATTAGCAAGTATATTTACATTTAGATTGAATGATTATGTCTCTCACTTACTTTTTGTAACACCATGTACATGGGGCCGGAGGTCTGTAATGCAACTGAACATCTTGTTCTAAGTCTGTATTCAAAAAAGTATTATTGTAGACATGTGAAGGACAGTACAATGCCAAATTAGACGCGTCAATGACGAAAATGATGTCCGATGCAATTCCCTATTGTCACTTGTGCCATATTTCCCCCTTTTTCAGGTAAAAAATTGACTCTCCTTTCTGGCAACACCTGTTCCAGTTTTTATTACAAAAGGGATGATTTCAAGTTTCCAAACGTGAATTTCCATTTATTCAAGCAGTACAGCACCATTTAATGATGCATTGTATGACCTTTACATTAAGTTTTCAGACCTCTTTACTCGCACTTATACACCTCGTCATCATGCTTGTTTACTTGGCAGAGAGCGTGGCATCATGCCCTGATGATATGTGTTGTAGTTGTTACCAGGCTGTCGCACAACGAACGAAAACCGTTGGAGCAAAGGTTCAAACCAAAGTTTATTAGGTTAGACATCATCCCAGATTCAGGCCGACACATGGTCAAGTTTTATCGTTCAAGTCACGTATATGTCACACACATGTGTACGTAAAACATCATGGATCACCCACAGGTACATCATTACACATGGAAACAGTTCAAACACATCGCTTTTCCGGCATTCGCACGCAGCTTAGTTATTCACAGTTCGCCATCTGTCTGCCTGGCATTTTTCCCAAGTGAGGTAACCCTCGTCCAGACTCTTAACTCTCGCAAAAAGCTCTATCAACATTACACTCCCCTCCAAAATTACAATCCATAGGGCAGTCGGGTAGCCTAGTGGTTGAAGCGTTCGCCCGTCACGCCGAAGACCCAGGTTCGAATTACGACATGGGCATAATGTGTGAAGCCCATTTCTGGTGTACCCCGCCGTGATATTGTTGGAATATTGCTAAAAGCGGCTTAAAACCAAACTCACTCACTCATTACAATCCATAATTTGTTGATACGATTTGTCAATTTCCTAAAACAAAAACATTGCATGTAAATTTTCAAAGGAATCATATTAGTGATCATCAAACGTTCATCATTCATCTGAAAATGCATCTGAACATTTCTGAATTAGTCGGTCGAGGTAGGTCATAGGATTTACTTGCTTTACTTCAGCAGTGGGTGATTGGTCTCCTATTGCTGACTTCACCTTGTGTACAATATTGTACAGTTCACTCGACTGATCCATCAAATTCAGTAACTAGTTGGGTTTGCGTTACTATAGAACGGATTATGAATAATTGATTAATATAATATAACACTTGGAAGCCAACAACCTGATTATGAATATCCAATGTGGTTTCCATTAAAACAGAAGTGCCATTAATCATTTGGTACGTTTAGAATCGTATCTAGAAAATACCAATGCATACACAGAACAAGCTGTATCTATCTTTTCGGATCTCGAAAAGCAAATGATACGGATTGGAAGCATGCTATTCTTACAGATTTATAAAATTGTGGATAAAGAGGTCGTTTGCCTCAGTTTGTACCCAAGTGTTTAGCAGTCAGACAATTTCAAGTTCGTGTGGGTCATTCTTTGTCTGATCATTATAACCATGATCAGGGTGTCCAGCGGGGCAGTATTTTGTCTGTCATATTAATTAGTATAACGATCAATAGCCTATCAAAGGTTTTAAATGATTCACCTTTTGTGGATGACTTTAATATTCCATGTCGTGGCAAGAATATGCGTACGGTCAATTTAGAAATGGTCACTTGAAATGGCTTCACGTTTTCAAAAGCCAAGAACCCTTTTATTTCATTTTTTTCTTTCAGTACAAGTACCATGAAGTACCATGAAGACTATATATCTGGATGGCACACCTGTAACAATTGAAGGGGAAGCCAAGTTCCTGGGACTCATTTTTGACCTTTTCACATTTGACATGTCAAATATCTTAAGACTGATGGATCTAGCCTTAATGAAAATCGTTCCAAATTCAAAGTGGGTTGGAGATCAAACAATTTTTCCTTCACTTCGCTCTAAATTGGACTATGGCTCCACTGTTTATGGTGGAGCCTCTAAGAGTAATTCAGGGAAATTCTTTGGCAAATAGTCCAGTCGGAAGTAGACCTTACACTTACTCAATTTAATAAAAAGACGGACACAAATCAATTGTTTTTTTCTAAAGGAATATATACAGTTGAGTGTAAAATATGATTCACATCGCTCAGTATTTACAGATAGATCCAAGGATGGTGACAAAGTATCAAGTGTCACTTTCGCTTGATCTAATAGTAACTCTTTCCGAATACCAGACAAGATCTTGGAGTATATTCAACATCGGTCAAAAAATGAACAATTTTCAGATTCACTGTCATCTTTCCAGATTCCTTGCCATGCCTTCAGGTACTGAAAAGGGTACCTTTCAATCATCCATATAAAACACAAAAGCTGATGCTGCAGCTAAAGCAAGTCTGAACAAATATATCTCTCACCTTCTGATGTCATACTCTGATTACTACCATATAACAGAGATTACATCGGGCAGATAATCCAGACAAGGTGGAACACCACCCAGTTAGGTACAAACAAACTTCATGAGATAAAACCAACTGAAGGTAATACCTGCCAAGGCAGGACGAAGTCGTTTTGCGACGATGTCGCATTGGCCACAGTTGTAAAACTCTTTGAATATTTATTGGAAGGTGAGGATCCTACGTGTTGTGTCCCTTGTGATAAGAGCATCACGGGAAGCACGTTTTGCTTGACTATGTAGAGCTTTATCTCACAAGAGATACTTTGTATAAAGTTTCAAATTCAGGGATCTTTTTATCAAAGTCAGTTGTCAGTATAGTTCTTTTGAAAAGAAATAGGACTGATCAATGGCTTTTGAATAAGGTTCTTTTAACTTAGTTTGATGTAACTTGTATTATTGTGGCTGTGCCATTTAATGATGTTGTAGCATGGTGAAATTATTGTTCGCTGATCGGGACACATAAATCCTAATTATATCAAAGTACAATGCAGAAAACTAGAATGTTAAGACATTCATATTTGGATTGTCTTTTAATTTATGGCTGGTATTGTCTACGACTACCAGTGACTAGAGCGATGGCTTAAATCCTACTGGGGTTTAATGCCCATGGTTCCCTGTACGGAGGGCTATCTTTGGTTACATATGGTATTTAGCT